TTATATAATATATTAATTATAATATATTTGTTTAATATAATATAATAATGATGATATAATATAATATAATATAGTTGTAATTTTTAATTATATTATAACTGGAATATTATTATTTCTTATGTAATTTTATAATATGTTTTATAATATTATAATTTTATTAACTATTTTAATAATATTATATTATAGTATAATATAATACAGTCATAATTTTTAACTTTGCATAGCAATTCAACCTCATAATTTACCAAACGCTATTACACTGATTTTGGAACCAGCACAACTAATATAATTATAGTTTACCAAATACTCAATAGCTTTTTGTAATAGTTGCTTCTTCTTTCAGCACAGTTAAAAATAATTTTGTCAAAATTCACAGCACTACCAAACTAAGCCATTGTCTTTCACATCCCCCGAAACTCGACTTTTAGCTCCCGTTTGGTTGGAGGATTCGTTCTCTGATTCGAATCATGGTTCATGGTTCGCTACAGTATTTTCTCTCACAAAAAACACGTAAATCAAAAATAGTTCTAATATCATGGTTCTAATCCATGAACCAAACAGACTCTTAAAATTTAAGGTGACTACCAATCTAATCATCAGAAATTCATACACACGTATTATTTTAAAAGGAATGATCATATTTTACAGGTTTGTTACCACCATTGGTGATTCAAAAATAGAATTTAAGTTTCATTATTAGGGACATTGCCTTGTCGATGTTGAAACTACCTTTTTGCGCCAAAAAAAAGATCCCAAAACTGAACCTTTGTTATGCTGGTTTATTTATTTATTGTTTACTTATATCAACATTTTTCTTCTACAAAAAGTAAAAACTTCAACTATATATATGTGTGGTAATGTGTGAGAGAATTTGATTAAATCGTATGAATTTCAACAGACGAAAATTGTATCAAGGAATCCACAGGATTAGCAACTGATGCAAGCTTTGATTAAGACAAGAGAGTAGTAATAAACATCTAATAAAAAAAGGCAAACAAGAAACATGTGATGTCACCACACTCTAAATAATAAATACTAGGGGAGCACATAACAAGGAGGGTATCTCAATTAATTAATTAAATAAATGGAATAGGTAATGCTCAAATCACTAATTATGTTTTTTTTTTTAAAGAATAATTTAAGTTGATCACTAATAATGAAAGACAAGCAAAGGGGCTGAATTTTAAATAATAAATATCCCCCTACCCCTAAGGAAAATTAAAAAAAAAAAAAATTTGATAAGACCAAAGAAGAGCATGAAAATGAAAGGAAATAAAAAGGAAAGAAGGAGGTGGGTTCCTTGCACCCAACGCATCTACCTTTGGTTTGGCTTCGGAACTAGGCTCGGTTGTGGACTTTGTGCGGATAAGAACGACCTTCTCTTTCTTTCTCCCAAAAAACCAAAACAAAACAAATTAAAATAATTTTAAAAACCCCAAAATTCAAAAATAAATTAAAAAAAAAAACTCTCTCTCTCTTAACGCCATCTACCACTCCCTACAAGAACCCAAAATCTCCCATCACCGCCTCCACTCTTCTACAAAACCTAAACACCTCTCTCTCTCTCTCTCGCTCGAAACCTCACTCCCTCTTTCTCTCTCTCTCTCTAAAACCCAAAAAGCACACTTGTATTTCTCTTCATCCTTTCCTTCTTCTATTCCTTGAGCATTATATTGCACCAAACACAAACTTCTCTCTCTCATCTCTCGGTTTAGTCAAGCTGGCGATCGAAAACCAAGACACCACCGTCCGCGAAATCAAGCCCAAGAGCAGAAGAATCATGGTGATTATTCTCTCCTCATTCTTTTATTTTTTTTTCACAATCTTATATTGAAATGAAATTTTGTTCAAATTTCCTTTGTGGGTTTTGGTTTTTTGACTCTGTTTTTTCGTTTTTGCTCTGTTTTAGGGTCCGGAGGAAGAGGAGAACCACAGGTGGCCGCCATGGCTGAAGCCTCTGCTTAAAGAGAGCTTCTTTGTGCAATGCAAGTTGCACGCCGATTCTCACAAAAGCGAATGCAATATGTACTGCTTGGATTGCATGAACGGCGCTCTCTGCTCTCTCTGCCTCAATTTCCACAAGGACCATCGCGCTATTCAGGTTTTTATTTTTTTTTTATTTTTGTATTCTTTTTTAAATTAATTTTTCATTGATATCAATTTCTTTAGATTGTCATGGTTTTCAGTGACCAATTTCGGCATCTGGGTTTTTTTTTTCTTTTTTTTTTTTTTGGAGGGGGGCTCTCTGTTTTTCAGTCGTTCCTTTTGGGGTATCAAGGGAATCCACTGATTTCCAGCGAAAAAGGAAAAAAAAATGCTACTTTTATTTTATTCTTCTTTTGGGTATCAATGGCGTACTTTTTTCCCATTCCAAAATGCATCCAAATTTGCCAAAACCAGTCAAAAAAAAGGGAAGAATTTGTTAGTCACATTCTTTTCGCATTCATTCATAACGTCCAATAAATAGAATGATGATCATTTCATCAGTTTCTAATTACAAATTTTTGTTTTTGTTTTGGTTATTATTTTCACAGATAAGAAGGTCCTCATACCATGATGTGATAAGGGTTTCTGAAATTCAGAAAGTGTTGGACATTAGTGGAGTCCAAACCTACATTATCAACAGCGCTAGAGTTGTCTTCTTGAACGAGCGACCTCAGCCACGCCCCGGCAAAGGCGTCACCAACACCTGCGAAGTATGCGAGCGCAGCCTCCTTGACTCCTTCAGATTCTGCTCTCTCGGTTGCAAGGTAAAACTCATTCCATTTTTACAATGCCCTCTATGTATATATATATATATATATTATATTTATATATTATATTTATATGTTTTTGTTTCTCCTCTAAAGCAATCAAACCAATCGGCTCAGCCTAAATGTCATTCATTTCTTTGGTTAAAAACCGAGTTGACTTTCTGTCCTCTTCTTGTCAGTCAGTCATTTGGGTGGATTAAAAAGGAAGAAAAATGTGTAACTTTTGAAATTTCGTGCTCCTTTCGTTTTCCTTTTCTCCTACATTTTCCCGGCAGCCAAACAAGTCATTAATGTTGAAATTGACGAAATTCAGTATCTGGGTCCGTCATTTTTTGGGGTGTAATTATGATTACTGACAATTGTGGGTTTTTTTTTTTGGGGGAATTTTCAGATTGTGGGAACATCGAAGAATTTCCAGAAGAAGAGGAAGCAAATGGCGGTGATGGCGTCGGATTCCGAGGACTCGTACAGCAGCAGCAGCAGCCATGGGAGGTCAAGCAACAAGTTGCAAAGCTTCACGCCTTCGACGCCACCACCAACTTCTGTTAATTACAGAACGGCCAAGCGAAGAAAGGGAATTCCTCACCGAGCCCCAATGGGAGGACTAATCATAGAATACTAGAGTATAAAAAGTCGATTATAATATTTTTAGTTAATTGCTCTATTTCTCCCGTTTATACAAAGTTAGTTTCCATAATGCCCTCCAATGCCCTGAGCTTTTCTCTCCCAAAGGCCGGTGTTGGCGATAATTCTCTCTAGCATTGTACATAGAAGCCAATAGAAAGTTCATATGATGTTTGATGATGGGAAAGGTAGGGAATAATAATAATAAAGGAAATTACGTGAAGGACAGTCCAAGACCAAGTGGGTGTGGAGTAAAGAGAGGACTGAAGTGATAAGAAAAAAAAATAGTAAGTTTTTATTTTTATTTTTATTATTTTTAGTTTTGCTTGTTTTCGAACAATAGATTATGGAAGGATGTTTTAGAGTGGTTATACATAAGTTTTAGGGTTAAGATGAAAATGTAAATATTTTGGGTTTTTATTTTTCTTGTTAGAGAGATAGGGAAGAAAATACAATGTATCACTCCTTTGGAAATAGGGGGATGTCATGTCTATATGTGGAAAAATGTAATAAGAGATTTTCTAGTTTGTACGTGTATTTATATGTGTGTGGGTGTGTGTATATTTACACACACACACACATATATATATATATATATATATGTGTAGAGTGACGGAGTGAGTCAGAATTTATCAGTTTTTTTTTATTAAGATTATGTTTATAGATATAATAAACTTAAATATTTTATTTTTTTAAATCTTAATAATTAGTCTTTAATAAAACGCAGAGAATTATTAATTTACTAGGGGCATGCTTCCCAAGCCTAGTTTCGTTATTTTATAGTTCTATTTATTTTATTAATTTATTTCAAAAATAATTACATTTAATTTTTTATTATAATAAAAAATTACATCTCAACTTACGCTGAACGGCCTATATGTATGTATGTTTGTGTATATATATTGGCGGTGTATTGGATATCCGATTTTGGAATTTGACTGATTGCGGTGAACTCGTTTTGGTGGGACCCGCGGCGGCCGTCTCGTGTGGGATGGTCAAGAAATGGGGTTTTGGGTTCTGAGTACGTGTGACTTTCTGATTGGTCTTTGGAAAGGTCGGCCTTCTCGAAAGTCGGAATCTAAAAGTAGGTCAGCCGCCCTCAACTCACACGATTTTTTTTTCTCTCCCTTTTAAAAATCCGCGTCAGATTTCAGAAAGTCGGTTTCTTTGCAAGTGGTTTCATACTTAATGCGGGTCCCATATTGGGACTCATCTCCAGCCGCCCGATTGCTTTGAGACGGCGCAGATGATTTTCATCTAATTTCAGACGATCAATTGGTGAGCTTTTCCAATGAAACACGATTTTTACAATAAATAAATAAATTTGGTTGCGTTCAATTTTATCCTAGAAACCTACAGAAAAAAAAAATATATATATATATATATATATTCACAACATCACGATACATTCTTGGAACCAAAGAGTGCACATTTTTTGCAAGCACAATTTTTTTTTTTCTAATAAATTAATAGATTGTTTAGAACTTTTCTTTTTTTCTTTTTGTGAAATTTCCACGAGAATTTTGGTCTTATTTATAGATCTGTTGAACTAATTGAAGAGCCAAAACCTGGTTTTGCTGTCAAATTGACATTCATAGTGTCGTCTCTATTTGGCATTTGACTTCTTCTATGATGAAACGCCTAGGGACTTTCTGTTTGGATTATAATGTTTTCTCTCATAAAAATTAATTTTTAAATTTTTTTGTTACAGTATTTACTCTTACGTAAAGTCTTGTCTCATTGAAAACTTGAATCGATGAAACGATATATTTTAGTCAAGTAAGCAAAGCACATATTTATATCTAATTGATCAAGAACTAAATTTAGTGAACAAAAATATTTCTATCAAAGCTCGATTTGCCCGTTAATGTATTCCCAGAGAAAAAATAAATAAAAAGAAAGAAAATAGATTTGCCCGTCTGTGATTCATATTGCATTTACTGTTCTTTGCAAAATTGGATTAACCATAACTTGTACACATGCTATTTGGCAATTGAAAACGAAGCTTCATGAGCACAATAAACACGTGCAATTAGAGGTAAAAATTGAATACACACATTATTTTTTAATGGTGACATTTCTATCAGTAATTATTATCAAATATAAAAATTTAAAAATCTAATTTCATGTTAGATTAATTGTGAAATTTATTTTTAACTGTGCATATTAAAAATCTAATTTTATTAATTGTCATAATTTTTCCTCAACTCCTTCAAATAAGTATGGGACATATATTTAAAACTGGTGTCATTAAACATTAACGCTTTGTTTTCTTAATCTCAATGGGCAAGAAATTCACAACTACGGAATGTGTAGACACCTTGCTTTGTTTACCCTTTACTTTTTTCTTCTTATTAAAAAAAAAGAAAAGAAATTCCTTTTTCCTCTTTTCTGCTGGGGTTTCGAATAGAAGGTTATTTTTTTTTATTTTTTTATTTTTTAAGTTAACGAGGCTTTGAACTTAATTTGTGCTGTTAATTCGATATCGCTTTCTTCAAAGACTTTTCATTCAACCAACCATATTATATATTTTGTAATAATATTGTAAATAATTAACTATGACAAAAAATAAAATAATTAAGTTAACCCTTTTTTTTAAAAAAAAAAGAAAGTGTCAAGAATTTATTCATTCGCTTATTTATTAGCACACGTAAGCATGCAAATGACACAAAAATGAATTTTACAAATAAATAAATAAAAAAAATTTCAGCTCTCCGAAAATGCCTTTTGCCTAGGTTCTTTTAATTCGTACAACAACAAATATATTGGTTATGTTAATTTTTGCCCACTTGAAGTTTTCTAAGATAAGACCCTTAAAAGCAACAAATTTAAGAAGAATCCATAGAAAAACACATTAAAACGATAAATATTATGAATATATAACACAATCAAATAGAGATTTGAGTAGAGTAAATTTATTATTAATATAAATTGAGATCCAAATGGATTTATATTTATATTTTTAGGAAAATACCAAAACTATAAAATATAATGTGTGTGTGCGTGAGATAAAAATCCTTTGAGAGGGACCTCCTAGGAGGAGAGAGTTGAGGGAGTAGGGCTCCTTTTTTTAATTTAATTTATCTAACCACATATAAGGTTATGTTGTCCCACAATTTAAGACAAAATTTTCTGAATCTAGTACACTTATGACCCGTTTGGTTCATGAATTAGAACCATGAGATTAGAATCATTTTTTATTTATGTGTGTTTTTTATGAGAAAAAATACTGTAGCGAATCGTGAACCATGATTCAAATCAGAGAACGAATCCTCCAACCAAATGGGCTATTATTTTCGCTATAAAAATAAAAGAAATAAAAAGTGCAACTGATATGGATTGTTGTATAGTCACTCACTTACCGTCCATGTATTATAATTTATCTTTCTTTTTTCAAAAAAAGGAAGAAAATTTTTAGCTTTTATTCTCTGACCAAACTTTTCCGACTTGTACACATTTGTAGGTACAAGATTATTTTATGTGTGTGTGAGTGAGTGAGACAGTGAACATCTTGTTTTACACGTGCCTTAGGATATGTATCGCTGCCTTTGTATGTTCATTTTATCTATTTGTTTATTTATTTTGTGTCCCACTTGATGTTCCTTTTTAAATTCATACATATCCCTTTATTTTATTTTATTTTATGTTTTGCTGGAACCTTTCACATATATCTTCACTTTTTCACGTTTTCATACTATTTTACCGACCTTATTTTGACCATATAAGTGTGCCATGTAGCGTCCAATATTCAGCCATGCATGTGTCGCAGCCAGTAAAAAAATACATAAATAAATAAATAAGGATTAGATAAAAGTAAACATCAAGTTGCGATTCCTGTGAAAAGCAACACTAGGAGGCCTATTGAAACTTTTATCATTGTAATAATAACTAAACTTTACGGAGTATTCAAGCAAAAAAAAAAAAAAAAAAAACGTGGTCCTATTGATTTCGCTGATTCGAGTTTAGAATTCGAGTTTTGTTACAGTAAAAGCTCTCACAAACAATCAAATCTAATTTTTTTACTACAGTAAAAAGCTCTCACATAAAATCACATCTCAACTCAAATTAAAAACTCGAATCAGCGAACTAAACGGGCACCCATTTCTTTTATTTTCAAAGATGAAGTTTTTTTTTTTTATTCTAAAAAACTTTTAATTTGGATTTATATTAAAAAATTAAAAAGACGATATACTTCATCTTTTAATTTGGATTTATGTGCAAAGTTTTTGAATTATAGATTTGGAATTTAAAAAGGTAATTTTTTTTATCATGGTGCATCTGATAAAATATTTAACTATACAAATAAGTATATCGTCTGATAAAATTAAGACTGAGTGTTCAAGTTTAGAAATTTAATATCACAAACACGACACATTTTCCCTGATTACTTTCTTGTTTATTGTTGAACTGCATCATTGCTCATGAACTAATCACAATTAAAATTTGGCCCTCGAATTTTTAATTTTAGTGATGTTCCTTAAATTTACAAATGTGTAGTAAATTACCCTTAATTGACAATGATTTTAATTTTTTTAACCGAAAGTGACACGTGTTTTGCTTATGTATAGTTGATTAAGGCATAAAAGGTCTTTTTTCACTTTTTCTTTTCTTTTTTTTTTTTTTTTTTTGCTAATCGGTCTTTTTTTAACAATTGTTAACCCTAACTTTTATTCAAAAACATAAAAGTTACCATTTATGCCAAAGAATCCATGTCCACATCACATATAGATTTCTGTTAAAAATTAACATCATTATCAATGGGATGGTTGCTAAAAATTTATAAATTCATGATGCAAATGGCTAAACTTAAAAATTTGAGAGGCAAATAGTAATAGTGTGATAAGTTCAAAAGGAAGCAATGTAAACCCGGTATTTCTTTCATTAATTTTTTTATAAGAATTTATTTTTTATTTTATTTTATTATTTTTTGGTGAATATTATTTTATTAGTTCTTATTTTTTTTTGTGCTTGGAGAGTTTTATTTTATTAGTCCAACAAAAACTAATATAATAAATATAATATTTTTAGGAAAAAAAACTAAAGGCGCGTTTTGGATAATCGTTTTAAAATAATTTTATTTTTTGTATAAAAATAAAAATAAAAACGTTTTTAATCTCAGATAAAAATTATTTTTAAAAATGTATTTTATAGTTTTATTAAGAAATTATTTTAGAAATGAGAAAACAAAAATAAAAAGTGACCAAAAATTATTTTTTATTTCTCATTTTTAAAATATATATATATTTTAAAAAAAATATGAAAAATAAAAATAAGATTAATTTCAAACAACGCTTAAAATTTGATGCCTCGTCAGCCGAAAAGAAGATCACCACGCGTCGCACAGAATCCGGTGCACTTTGATGAGTAATCGTTGTGAACCGTGAAATGCATCGCTAATTGTATTCCACGTGTTAGCATTGTATTTTGGCTGGAACATTCCTGTACATTTCACTTGTCTAATGGAGATGCGTGGCAATTGCCGGGTCCCGCAGAGTTAAAGACTACAAAATCGTAAAGTACAGTCCGTTTATTTCGCT